TACTTTTAAATAAAATATACTTTAAAAAGCAACTGACATCGTAGCTTTCAACACCCTTTAATTACTATATGAAGAGAAAAAAAGAATAAAAAAAATAAAAATATGACTAGTTGGAAAAAAATGTTTGTGAAAAGTTTTAGGATGAATTTTTAATTTTTTAAAACAAAAAAATAAAAAATATTATTCAACTTAAAAGTTTCTATTATGTCTTAAAGCTATAATTTTCAGATTTGGTTCGATCTAAGGTTTGAATTTTGAATTTTAACTGAATTATTGGGTTGCTTGAGTTAATTTTTTAAAATTAAAACAATAATATTTTAATAAAAACATAAAAATCAACAAGTTATAACTGAATTTTTTATTAGATTACACTAATTTTTTTTTAACCTAACTTAATTTTAATCTTGATTCAATCTCAGGGTAAGCCAAATTTCAAAACTATACCCGAAACCAAGCAGTGGTCTTTTTGTCAACTATCAATTATAGTTTGAGTGCCAGTCGAGTAACTCCTCTTGAAAATCAATTGTAGTTTGAGTTACTTCTCTTAAAAGTTAAGTCAAGGTTTTCAATTTCAGTTCATGTTTTGTAATAAATTGTAGCTATCTTTTGTTCCTTTCCTTCTTTTCATGAAAACGACAAATTTTTTTAAAAAATCATAAATTATAGCTCTCTTAATAACCAAGTTCTTGAAAAAAAAATTCCTGGAATCTTCAAAATTATGGATAAAACAAAACACAAATTCAACTAAATCTTAAAACACTTCTGAGCATGTCCTAAAAGATAAGAAAATATTTGAGATTGTAGTAAATATTGTTTTTTTAATTTTTTTAAAATTAATATTAACATATCAAAATTATTTAAAAATATTAAAAAAATTAATTTGAAAAATAAAATTTTAATAAAAAGCAATTTTAATCTTAATATTAGGTCTTATTTATTTTTGTGTTTTAAAAGTAATTTTAAAAAATTTTAAATTTTTATTTTATTTTTTTCTTTAAATCAATATGTTTTTTTTGTGTTTTTATATCATTTTGATGTATTGATATTAAAAATATTTTTTTTCAAATATAAAAATATTATTTTGATACATTTATAATTAAAAAGCATTTTGAAAAGCAACTGAAAACACACTTTAAATAAAAAAATGTTTGAGAATACAGTTACGATTATTTTTTAAAATGTTTTTAGCTCACAAATACATTAAAATAAAATTTTTTATTATTTAAAAAATTATTTTTAACATTAATATATCAAAATTAATATATCAAAATGATTTGGAAATACAAAAAATATTAATTTTAAAAAATAATTTTAAATTACAAAAAAAATCAGGGACGATCTTATAGAATTAACTTACTAGTAGACTTCTATTGTATACATACTTCCTTATTTTATGTACAGTTCCGCAAAGGTCTCAATCAAATTAAAAATCCAAGTCATAACCCTAACATCATCTATTTTATGTTTAGCCTTTGGCAGTCCTCATTAGGCTCTTAACTTGCTGGACCCACCAAGAGTTTTTACAGGATCCTTCCCTTCAATAAAGAGTTTTTTTTTTTTTGCATAATTTAAATTATATAGATTTTGCTTTCATATGTTTTGAGTGTGTGCAGTACCGTGCGTGCTTTTCAACTATATATTTTTGTTATAAAATATATATATTTTTTTTATTTTTAAATTTATTTTTTATTTTTGCTTGAAAATGATTTAATAGAATTCAAAAAAATAAGCCCATTAATAGTTTATTAAATCTCAATAGATATGATGGGAAATAACACAAGTTATAACCTTCGTGCAATAACACAATATTATATCGTATGCTATGATTAATCACATAGTTTTTATTGTTTTGATTTTTTTAATCTTTTCATGTTTTTTTCTTATAATCTACTTAGCACTATATATAAAGATAGTGTCTTATCTTGCCTTGGCATACACCTTGTGCCTCAACTCTGAACTTAGCCATTATTATTTTTTACATTTAAATTTGTGTTCAGGTGTTTTTCTTAACAATTTGAATATACTGATTTCCAAGAATAAAAAAATCTAAAAAATATATTTTAGTGTATTTCCAATGAGATAAATACTTTTAAAAAGTATATTATTGGTGCCGAGTACATTCATATAACATTTTATTATTGTATTGGATAAAAAATTAGAATAAAAAGATGTATCCTTAATATATATATATATTTTTGCTGTCTTTCTTGTAGCAAGAAATTAACCAAAGGCAACCTCGGAGCCTTTTTTAAAAAACATGTTATTCGCCACACTGAAACTCTTCAACAAGATTAGGTGTGAATTAAATGAGTTCATGTTGAATTAGTCTATTCAGCCAACCAGAATAATCAAGCGCTAAATAGTTCCGAGTAATTAAGGCTGCATTGAATAATTAATCACTCACCTGTCATGTGTTAAAATACTCTGTACAGAGTATATAACCTTTATAACACTCCTTGCTTTCTTCTCCGTGCATCAACGGCCCCTGCTTAATAATTTACTTCATTTTGCTGACGGCCAGGGCCACCAGGCGCATCGCCTGCCTGCCTGCCTGCCTGGCGCCAAGACCAAATCACCAACCGGTCCTTTTTATCCCTACCAACCATCGGTTTCATCATGTGTTTGGTTTGCCTCCCGGAACACCATGTCCATTGCCTGCAGACGGCCAAAACCAGACCACCAACAGTTCCGTGTACTTCTGTAGTGACTAAGAATAAAAAAAATTTTGTTTAGATTTTTTTATACCGTTTTAAAATGCTGCTGTAAAAAATATTTTTAAATAAAAATATTTTAAATTATAATTATAATTACATTTTTAAATGTTATTTTAGTATTGTGGTGATGAGTGTTTTTTAATTAAAAATATATTTTTTAATTTTTTTAATTTATGATATTAACATGTTAAAATTATAAAAACACATCTAAAAATATATTAATTTGATTTTGTTGAAACAAAAAATATTAAAAAAGCACACGTTTTAACGCAAAAACAAGCACTTAAAATTTCCACCGACCACGCGTTTCACCAAAACCACGTTCCAATACTCAGGATATAAGAGATAAAAATGTGTTCGGTGGTATAGAGAAATAGATAAATATATAAAATAAATAAATTTATATTATTTTAGAATAAGAGATTTTATTTTTTTAATTCAAATCGATAAGAATTCGAGTTGATCGAATTTCAATTTTTAATTCAACCCGATAAGAATTCGAGTTGATCGAATTTCAAGCTAACCCACGAGGTTGTCTAGCTTTCACTGCCGTGGTTCCAACTCTAGTTAGGTTAACCAGACTCCTTTAAAACTAATTTAAATATATTGTTATCCCTAATCTACCTGGAAAACATTGTACATGGTTTAAGGGGCTACCGTATGGATTTTTTTATATACCCGTTTATCTTTGTATGGTTAAAGTGTTTCCTCGTATATAATTTTAAAAATGTTTCATTTTTATATTTATATTTCCTTTTATATTCTCTTTCTTCCATTTACAAACAAATAAAAAAAAAAAGAGTTATTTGCCGACCTTCCAAAGAATTTATCACAGGAAAAATGATTAATCTTAGACCACCAAAAACAAAATCAATTTTGAAAATATAAAAATATTATATCAACTTTCAAGGGATATCAAATTATTAATAAAGTGTTAATATAACGATTAAAGTATTATTATATCTATATAAAGAAAATAATACAAGTTTGATTCTTAAAAAATATACTTATTAGGAAAGATAACCACAAATCCTAAATATAACTAGTTTTATAATTTAAAATGATGCGAGCATAGAAAAAGTTGAAAACAGTTAAGAAAGATAAAAAAAAATAAAAAAATGGAATATTCCAAAAAAATCGAACTAGCCCATTAAATAAATATAAAAAATTGAAAACTAATGAAATATTTGAAAAACCAGCATCTCGCGACTTATTTCACTGGCTAGGTCATATTTCTGCTTATAGGTTTTACAAAATAGGTTTTCACTTTTTTTTTAATATATTTTTCAAAGTTAGTTCTATAAATCTTCTACAGGGGTTTTTATGTTTTTATTTATGACATTATGTGAAAATAAATTTTAAAAAATTAAAATAATATTATTTTATTCTTTTTCAGAAGCAGTTTTACTGAATTATTTCTTTAATTTTATATTATTTTTACAAAAATTCATCGGAGCTAGGTGTTAAAATAACATGGCCTTGAGCCAAACTAAATTTAATAACCCTCGTATGGTCAGCTAGTTAATATTGTAATTTAACATAGAATGCATGTTTGATATTATGATATAAGTATATTTTGTATGAAAGTATATTCAAATATTTTTTATTAAATTTTTTTATATTTTTAATATTAGCATATTAAAAAATTAAAAAAATAATACATATATTTTTTAATTTAATACTTAAAAAAACATCTAAAAACAAAATCAGCCCCTCCTGTTTAGATCAAAGCCACAGTCTATGAAACTGTAAGTTAAACCTTAAAAAGAAAAACACTCCTCAAAAATTGAATAGCTGTCAATCTCGTTAAATAACTGTTAAAGTTCCAGCACAGATTCTGAAGAAAACCATCTTACGTGGCACAAGAACAGGCCGCCTGTCTGCGCCACCGTGGTAAGGAAAAAAACTGAAGTGGGTCCAACGGAACAGAATTCCTTGCTGGAGAATTTATTTCGAAAATTTACTTATTTATTTTACAATTTATTTCTCTCCTCTTTTCTTCTCTTCTCTTCTCTATCACCATCCAATTCCAATTCGAATTCTGTCCCTTTTTGTTTTTATTTTTGCTAAAATACAAATAAAATTAGTATTCTAAGAAAAGAAAAAAAAGAAGATAATTTAAGGAAAAGGAAAAGGAAGTTTCTTGGTTTGGAATTTTTTTTATTCATTCAAAAGATTGAAAGTGAAAACTTTTGATTTGATATAATTCAAAAGATGGGTCGTGGTGGTGATGGTTATCTCTTGTGCTTCTGCCTTTTCTCTTTGAAAAAACAAGAGGTGAGCGTTTTTTCCTTTGTTTCTCTCCTTCCATTCTTGTTTTGCATATGGGAGTTGAGTTCTGAAATGGGTTTTCGTCTTTGCAATGGTTTCTGTTTGTAGATCTTTTGTTTTATATGAATAGGGTTGTAAAGTTTCGATCTCTTTCTCTGTTTTTTTTATTATTATTGTTTTGGGGTGTAGGGTTGAATTTGGGAGATGTTCGTTGGATGTTTTGAAGCGGGGTTGGAGAAATATTGATGATTTTTGTGTTTTGACAGGCACTCGTGTGGCTTCGAATGCTGGATTTTAGGGTTTTGGGCTTTAATTAGATTTGTCATCCGTTATCTATCATTGCATATCGATGTTAATTGCATCTAGATTGAATTTGTGTTGGCTTTCTTTTTATTTGTTTCGATCAGTTTATGCATCCAAGAACTTGATTTTTTTAAGCTTAAGCATGAGTTTGATGAATCATTATGGTTTAAGAGGACATAGCAAGATTGATGAACTCATTTGTAGGGTTTACCTGATCATCTTGCATTGAAGTTCTGATCGCTGATGTTGGGTGGTGTTTGAAGGCTATTAGGTCTTGTGAAAAAGCATGAAGAGTAAATTTAGAGTTAACAGGAGGAAAAGAGAGATAACTAGGCAAGAACCTGGGAGGTTAATGGAGTGCCTCAGCTCTGGAGACCAATCAAGAGCAATGGATGGAATGAGACTTTCATCTGAGTCTCTTGCAACCAAAGAAAATCCCGCAGGTGCATATTCTTCTAATAATGGTGTGCTGGACGTGGAACCAGACACCAGCAATCTAGAAGAAGCTGAATTATCTCTTCGTGGGCGTGGTTCTTTGAACTACGAGGTTTGTTTCTCCTGACTTTATAATTTCTATATTTTTCTTGATTCTTTATCAGACTGTTCGGCTTTCTTTAATCCTTGATCACAGTGAGTTTAAGTTACATTAAAAAGCTGTGTTGAAATTATCTTTGGATTTTCTTATAACAATTCAAAAGACTCATGTATTAAAAGTTCATTAATTTTTCAGCTGATGTATTTTATCCACATGTTTCTGGATTTGAACTTTGAAGCTTAAAAGATTACTGGCGGGAATAAATCAACTATGTGGATGACTTTTATGATGGTTTGTCTTTAACACATGATGACTGCAATTTGCAGGAAGCCAGAGCATTGTTAGGAAGAATGGAATACCAAAAAGGGAACATAGAAGCTGCTCTTCATGTATTCGAAGGAATAAATATTGCTGCTGTAACTCCCAGGATGAAAGTTACTCTGGCTAAAAGACAAGAACACCACAAGAGACACTCACAAAATTTTGCTACCCCATCAATGTCTATACATGCTGCCAGTTTACTAATGGAAGCAATCTTCCTTAAAGCAAAATCATTGCAGCATCTTGGGAGGTTCAAAGGTACTTCTGCTTTCTGATCATAGTGTTCTGCAAAATAAAATAAAATAAAATAAAAATACTCTTAGTACATTAGGTCACATTTTCTTTGTTTCCTGGGAAGCTAGTCAGCTTAAGAATACCAATGTTTGTTTAGGAGTTTTAAATTATTTTTAGGCTAAGATGCCTAGAGCCTTCTCTCTCTCTCTCTCTCTCTCTTGTTTTTCTATTTTCTGTTTAATCTCTTCCTTTTCTACATCTAGATTTTGATGCTGCAGTGTCTTGGCTACTGTTAACGCCCAATTTAAATTCCAGCCCTTGAACGAACATCAATTCTTATTCAATCCCAATTCCACACGCATCAAACAAACAGTTAGCTTTATCCCCACCTAAAACACTGAATTCCTATGACCTAAAGGCTCTACTGTGTCTCTTCGTTTTATTAACTAAGTAACAACTTACCAAGCATCTCACAAATGAACCTATAAGAGACTTAATGTATGTTTCACCAAATTGAGTAGTGCAATTAATCAGAATTTCATATGAATGGCTTGATTTTTCTGCTGTCTTCATTGTCTTCATATGCCTCCATGAAACGCAATCATCTCATTATCCTTTGTCCCTCCTTCTCTTCTTCCCCATCCCTCACAAGCATATATATGTTTAGGTGTAAGATAATTTTTGTAGACATATAGCCTTCGACAAATTGGAAGAACTTGGAAGAATATAAAAGAAAATGAAGTTTTGATGAGACATGGAAAAACTATCAAACCATCGTTGTAGTGGCTGATGTATGTTTTTAATCATCCTTGCAGAAGCTGCTCAATCTTGCAAAGTTATTGTGGACATAGTTGAATCTTCATTCTCAGAAGGCATGCCTGAAAACTTTGCCGCTGACTTTAAATTGCAGGAGACTCTAAACAAGGCAGTTGAGTTGCTTCCAGAACTATGGAAACTTGCTGATTCCCCACGTGAAGCAATCATGTCATACCGGCGGGCTCTCCTCTATCACTGGAACCTTGATGTAGAAACTACTGCAAGGATTCAAAAAGATTTTGCTATTTATCTTCTGTACAGCGGAGGTGAAGCAAGCCCCCCAAACCTCCGCTCTGTGATGGACAGTTCATTTGCACCTAAAAACAACATGGAAGAGGCCATACTGCTGTTAATGATACTGTTAAGAAAAATGATTCTGACAAGAATTGAGTGGGATCCATCAATCTTTGATCACCTTTCGTTTGCCCTCTCTGTTTCTGGGAGTTTAAAGGCATTAGCCGGCCAGGTTGAGGAGTTGCTTCCTGGGATTATTGATCGCAGAGAGAGGTATCATATTCTCTCTCTATGCTATTATGGAGCAGGTGAGGAATTGGTTGCTTTGGATCTATTAAGGAAATTGTTGCATAGTAATGAGGATCCAAAGCGTGTTCCAGCCTTATTAATGGCATCAAAGATATGTGGGAAGACCTCTAAACATGCAGAAGAAGGGATAAATTATGCTCGCAGAGCACTGCAAAGCTTGGAAAATGACTGCAATCAATTGGAAAGTGTAGCAAATTACTTGCTGGGTGTCTCACTTTCAGCGCATTCTCAAGTAGCTGTTGCAGATTCTGAGAGGTTCACAAAGCAATATGAGGCTCTTGAGGCCCTGGAATCTGCTGGAAGAATGACAAAGATGCAAGATTCTAATATTCTTTACCATCTCAGCCTAGAAAATGCAGAGCAGAGGAAGTTGGATGTGGCGCTTTACTATGCAAAGCACTTGTTAAAACTAGAAAGTGGTTCTAGTATTAAAGGATGGTTATTGCTCGCTCGGATCTTATCAGCTCAGAGACAGTATAGGGATGCTGAAACTGTTATTAATGCTGCCCTGGACCAGACTGGGAAATGGGACCAGGGAGAATTGTTGAGAACCAAAGCTAGACTTCAAATTGCTCAGGGTCAGTTAGAGAATGGCATCGAGTCATACATCCAGCTTCTCGCTGTTCTTCAAATTCAGAGTAAGAGCTTTGGACCTGGGACAAAGCTGTATAAGGTTCGTGAGTTGATCCCAGCTAATAGAATTATAATTATGACAGTACTTATTAATTCACAAATCAGAAATGTTTTAACTTGCCAGGTGATCGTTTTAGCCTAAATGTCCTATTTACCATCGCTTTTGGCTGTTAATAGGAATTTTTATGTTTTTTATTTTTGCCGTTATTAGGGTGTTTGATTACATATATTTTTATTGATCAAGAAAAATGGAAAAACACTTGCTTGAGTGAGATGTGGGAGGCAAGAAAATGGGAATATTAGAGTGCAAGCCATTTTCTTTACTTAAGACTATCAAGGCATTTGAGGTTCCTTTTTCTGGAAAACATGTATTTTTTAAATGTAGCAGTTATTGTTCCTTTTTATTTTTCTTTGAAAATGTGCTATGAGAGAACTAGTTTATACTTGACTTTTTTTGTACTTGATTTTTCAGGACAGTGGAAACCCTCCATGTCATCTGGAATTGGAAGTTTGGCATGATATGGCTTCTGTCTACATAAGGTTGTCCCGGTGGCATGATGCTGAGACATGTCTTTCCAAATCCAAGGCCATCAGCTCTTACTCAGCTTCTAGATGTCACACAACTGGTGAATTGAGATCTCACTTCAATTATAATTTACTTTGTCGGACTCCTTAATTCTGATTCTTCATCTTTTGAACTTCTTTCAATTTGTTTGTTTTGGAATTTAAATTTTAGGGAGACGGCTCTATTCTGAGTTTTGCCATGTTAAAATCTTCTATGCATGAAATATTTCTGAGCTCTGAAATGTGGTAATCGATGGTGTGCACGGAACATATTTGCCAGTTTTGCCAAAATTCTAATGTCTGAAATTCAGGATGCTGAAAAGCTATCAAATTTATGTTTTCTTTCAAGCAATATATGGCATGATTAAGATAGTTCTGTCCAAGCTAAGTCAGCCTCATGCCCTGCTTCAGCCCTTCTCCAGCCCTACTCAACTCCTCCATATCCTGTATATTTTCAAGTCTTTGCTTGAGGGCTAAGGTTTTTAGTTGGTTTGCCAAGCCAAAAATGGCATTATCTCCAAACCCCCATTAGGACCCGAATTTACAATGCGTTGGCTATACCAGTCAGATTCTTTTGCATAGAAAGCAATTAAGATTGATGGAGAGGTGTAGCTACTTTCTGTAGGCATTTCTTAGACTCTGAATTCTTTTTTGTAAACATAACCAAGAAAGAAATTAAGTTGTTGATTATCTTGCAGGTGTACTTTATGAGCAAAGGGGGCTCTACAAAGCAGCTCTTAAAGCCTTTGTGAGTGCTTTAGATATTGATTCCACCCATGTCCCAAGCTTGGTATCCACAGCTGTGGTTCTTAGACGGCTCAGTATGCAATCAAATGCAACCAGAAGCTTTCTAATGGCTGCTCTGCGACTTGATAGAATGAGCTCATCTGCGTGGTACAATCTTGGCCTACTTTACAAAGCTGAGGGTGCTCCCTCCTCGTCCCTAGAAGCTGCTGAATGTTTTGAGGCTGGAACATTTCTTGAAGAGACAGCTCCAGTCGAGCCTTTTAGATGATGGACACTCATCACCAAGAGTTGTTGGTACTGTAAACGGCAGTGATTTTTTCTACTTTCCCCGCATGTATTATTTTGTGTGAGTTTTGCACATGGCTGGTAGCAGTATATACATAGCAGTAAGAAATATTCTTTTTCTCATAGCCCTGTACTCCAAAACACACTAGAAATGGAGGCCATACATGAATCATCCCTCCTCCACCGATGCTATTGTTTGGATGGCTTTAAGCAAGATCTGGAACTAGTCAAGGAGAATCTGCAAAATTACCATAACACGAAACACATAGCTGATAATTTTTCTTGAACTTTCTATAAAAATCCTAGTTCTCTTAATGCAATGGATTACATAGAATCTGTGTTATCAAGATGAATTTTAGTTTTCTTAACGCATTAGAACAACATGGAACTCGATTATCGTACTTGTAGACCAAAATATGGTCACTAATCTCCGACAAAGCTCAGGAGTTGAGAGGAAATGGTTCCCAAGGAAACGTCAAAAATAATTTGAACGACTCGACGAAGAAAAAGGGTGTCAAAGTGAAGACAAATAAATAGTAAAAGAAAAAGGAACAGGGACCAGCCTTCATGCAGTGATGGTGGTCACGTTTAAAGAGAGAGGGTCACGACTCACGAGCAAACCTTTTGCTATCATCGACGCAAATTGTAATGGCAGACGACAAATGGAGAAAAAGGCCTTTTTTTTAATAATAAAAAATATTTAAAAAATATTTTTTATTTGAAGACTTAAATAGCGAATTAGGATAAAAATAGATATGTTTTTGCATGCCCAAAATATTAGCGTTTTCTAAGAGATGTGTCGTGTTTAAAAATATTAGTTGTTGGTCTCCAGATTTAAACCCGAAAAAATAATTTATTCTTTTTTTAACCATAAAGCTAGGAGGAGGATGACAAGCCAACTCGTTTTTGCCTGAAATAATATTTAAATTATTTTATAAGAAAACAAATGAGCTGAAAAATTGAATTATATTTCTATACATTAATTATAATAATAAAACAAAGAAGTAAAATCTACACTTAGAAATTAATGTCTTTGTGGGGCTTTGAATGCCGTCGGTTTATGTAAGAATATCCATCAATCCCGGCGAGACTGGCTGATGCTGGTCCTGTCAGATGGTCCACGTTGTTTTTCTTTCTAGAACGTCCTCGTACTTCCATATTTTTACATTTCCTCCTCTCTTTTTTTCTTAAGTGATTTCAGTTTTTTATAAATCAGCCGTTGAATTTAATAATTAGAGGATAAAAGGGTTGAAACAAGTCCATCCTTGCGCAGATCTTAAAGTGGGAATTCCTTTTTCAATTTTTAATTTTTTTAAACACTTAAAATCTAAATTTTTCATCCTGTTCCTAGGTTAATAATTTTAAAAAATATTATTAAAATATAAACAAAATCGTGCTGTTACTCTACGTCCATCTCACAGCCGACACCTCCCTCAAAACTAAGACAAGACAAAGACAAAAGACATACCAGCTGACAAGCAAGGGAATTACCAGCATGCATTGGAACACCTGTGTTTTAGTCAATGGTGGTGTTGATAATTATTTTTTCTGTTACTCTGGTTTCGAAATCTATTTTTGTTATGTATTTGGAAATATTTTTCAAAATATTTTTATTCTTTTTAGATTAATTATCAGAATAGATTTACAGGACTATTCATAAAAAAGTAAAAAAAAATAATTCAATTTCGTTGGTTTTTTTCTAAAAAAGAAAATATTTTTTGGACACTTCATATTCAATCCTAACCAGTGGACTGTGTCCTGTCTCTGTCGTCTAAAATCTTGAAACTGGGGTTTTCTTGTTCAAAAGTTTCAGTCTTTTAGTGGCTTATCAGTAACTGTAGAAACTCTAGAGAGAGAGAGAGAGATGGAAAGTGGCAAGAAGGCAGAAGCAGGCCCATCATCAACAACAAGAGGTGGTTTTGATGAGAAACTAGAAAGGAAAAGGGAAACCAGTGAAATCCCACCTGCTGTAGCTGCTGCTATCGATGATGAGGAGGAGGAGGATGGTGATGCTGTTGATAATGGAGTTCCTGTTGCTGGATTTGTTCCTGGGCCTTTGCTATCTCTCAAGGAACAGATTGAGAAAGACAAGGTTTTTCCTTTTTCTTTACATCACTTTTACTTTTCTGTATTTAACTTGGATTCGCAATTTTTGTTATGTCTAATTCAAGCTTAATAATTTCGTAATGGATTCTAGAAATCTTGATGTTTTCTTTTAGTTCCTTTTATCCTTTCTTTGGTTGCTGTATATGTGGAACATTTGCCGTGATAAATTTCGATTTTTGGGTAACATGCTTCTGATTTTTGTAATTGAGACCTGATAAAATGAGATTTGCTACAGATTAGTCCATTATTTGAGTGTTCCAGTGTGAGAGCTGGTCAGCCAACATTGCACTGAGCAGGTTGCTTTGCCGGTTTCTTTTCTCCCTTGTTAAATTCAACAACAAGCAAAGAGGCCATTATTCTTTTAAGTTTGTATGTTAAGGACCCAACTTTTCTCTACTGTTAGTGTTCTTAGATGGGGTTGTGACAGTTTTTTATTGTATGGGAATCGATTTGGGCATATTACAGTTAATTTATCTCACTTCTGTTTCCCACAATTTTTTTTATTGATGCCTCCTTTGTGTTTCGAATCGTGGCTAATTGGTGATAGTTAATAAGGTTATAATGAAATATCAAGTGAGATTAATGTAAAGTGGGCAGCCGCAACAATCTCGAATCAAATGTTTTATAGCCTGTTTATTGTTGTTTACATTTTCTTTTTTTCTTCATTCGACAAAATAAAATACAACGTGGGATCATTTTAACCATGTGATGCCATGACGTGAAAGTAAAAATCCAACTCACTGGCATGGCAATGGCTGCTGGATGCATATGAACATAATTTTAAAAGCCAGTTGTGCTTTGCAGGAAGATGATAGCTTGAGGAGGTGGAAGGAGAAGCTACTTGGCTGCGTTGAAAGTGATTTGAATGGTTTGATTCAGGCATCCTTTTATTCGATAACTGAGTTTTTCCTGTTTCACTTAATCACGTATTTATATTTGTGATTTGTTAGGCCAACTGGAACCTGAAGTCAAATTCCACTCGATAGGAATTATATCCGATGACATTGGGGAAATAAACACTCCCTTGCCCGTTGATGAAAGTCAGAGTGGTCATCCCCTTTTCACTCTCAGGGAAGGATCTCGATACCAGCTTAAGCTAACATTCAGTGTTCTGCACAATATTGTTTCTGGCCTTGCATACTCAAATACAGTGTGGAAGGGGGGGATACCAGGTGCATAATCATCTAGCCCTCTGCATTTAGAACTTTTTACTTTATGCTTCTGAAGGGATGGATAAATCTTGCAGATATGACTAATTAAACCTACATCTGTTACCAGTACCAAAAGGTGGCACTTTTTTAAAAAATAGATAAAAATCAGATGTTATTCGAGTCTTATAAGGCTTTATACCATAGTAGGTTACAATAACATACACGGACAATTTTGTTCCTTTCTTTCTCATTTCTGATTGGGGGTTGGCTGACGAAGGGGTAGATACAAGTGCTAAAGAGAGCAATCATGTCATCCTCACACTGCTTTCAATCTTTTAGTTTGTTAAGATAACATATCCTGCAATTGTGCTTTTTGTCTAGGGAACTGTTTAATTATTACCGTTACTGTTAGCTATCTGTGACTGTTTTCATTTCTTGAGTGCCAGTTGATCAAAGCAAAGGAATGCTGGGTACTTTCGCTCCCCAGCGGGAACCATATTTCCATACTTTGGAGGAGGACACAACTCCATCTGGTGTGCTGGCAAGGGGAACTTATTCTGCAAAGCTTAAGGCAAACATCATTTCGTGAGAATTTCTTCTGTGTGCTACTGTTAAGCTCGTTTTACATTCTTGGTTGCTGTTTGATGCAGTTCGAAGACGATGACAGAAGATGCCATATGGAGCTCAAATATTCCTTTGAGATTAAGAAGAGAAGCTAGCCAAATTTTGCTGCGAGGAGTTTCCTCATGTTTTCATGTGTTTCTTTGTTCCATTTCTTTTTGGTCTTATTAAGTACACAGATGTTTTTCGAACCTGTTGAATTTACTATAGCATTTAGGTGCAAGGAAATATAGTTTTCGTTTTTTTCTTAAATAACTTGTCTCTGCTTCTTTGAATCATAACTTTACACCTCCGTTGATGTCGGAGGAACATTCTTGTTGCCACAGCAACCCAGAGTTCATCCGGCAAGTAAACTTGTTTCATCCTTTTGCCTTTTCGATTCTTACTCAAGGTTTTCCTTCATCTGCAATTCAACTTTGCTTCAAATTCAAGGCTTATAGTCAAATTTCAGTACTGACAGCAATGAAAATGAGTAGGAATAGATTCAGTGACAATGCATCTCAGTGAAGTCACGACAGTTAAATGGTCAATTGAAAAAAAAAAATCATTCATCGTTTTATTGCAAAGTGTTTTTTTTTTAAAAAAAAATTAAATGATGGAACCTTCAATGGATCTGTCAGCTCTAACCTTTTTCATTTCTTCAAGCTATCAAATGTTTTCAGCACACAATACATCATCACCCGTCAGATCAACCATTTACTACGATATGCTTGGAAGTTTAAATCTACCTGATCGTATGCTCGTGGGGCCCCACCATGCTCAATGTTGAACTCAATGGTTCTCTGCTCAGGATAGGTTGAGTTGTATTCTAGAGAAAATTCACACCTTGTTCAGCATCTGATGACTTGATCAACACATGACGACTGAAATATACTCTGTGTTATAGCCGCTTGCTTATGAGGAGCTAAGATTAGCTACAGGAGGCTAGAGTTAGGAAGCATTGTTTTAGACAAAAGACAAGATGCCCGCTCTGGATACAACAGAGATGGAGACTGCTTGCAGTTCTGAAACTTCTCACCGGTCTACTGGTGCATGAAGCGGAGCAGTACAGCACAAGGTCCAGCTTCTGAAAAAATAGAGCGTTCTGGTAGTTGCATCATTTACAAACCAATGCCAGCCAGGCAAGAATGCGGGAGGCAACGTGGGAACCACAGATTTATGCTACTTGAAGCTATTCACAAGTAATGCTGACATAAAAGAAACAATTAGATACGCTAAACCACTTAGCCAACAGGATTTCTTCTCACACAATACCAATCGCCACGAGGTTCTCTAAAAGCTTCAAACTTCAGTAGTAATTTTTTTTTTTTTTTTGGAAAAGGAACTTCAGTTGTATTACGTAAGTAAGAAATCCATGCAGCAATTTCACATATCAAAACCCGTCTCTAGTGGCTTGGCCCCCCTTGCCTTAGCCCCAAATATACGTATCGATCTAAGTCAGGCGGAATGGCTCTAATCACCTTAATTTATCCTCATGGGATTACTTCCTTTTTGCTCAGCAATGCTCTGTAACTTTATACCGCTGCTCAAATTTCTGATTCAAACTCATTCCCTAGAGAATACGAAAACACGTACCTTCTATTCTATAGGTAATTCAAGAGTGCATCAGCTGAAGAATTCTACAACTTGATAGAGAATGAGAAAACTTATATTCACAGTACTCAAGCCATGCACATCAAGCTTTCCCATGGTCCCACTAACAATCTTCATCTCTTAAAGGGACATGTCCCCTTTATCCCTATCATTTCTGCATCTTCTATCTCGATACAATAAGCAACTGTTACCACAGTAACTATACTTTGCAGTCATAGGTACTACAGAGAATGTCATGCACCTTTATTAAGCTCCCAAACTGCTGTCCTCTTTCCTGGAATACTCTCAGAATCTTCATAATATGCAATAATCTATACTCTTGGAGACCTTGTCATGTTGGGAACTGTATCTACTTCATGCTGATGTTCTACATTCTAATCCACTAGTACATCAGATCCATCATTCTCTCACTGCAATTTTAGGGAAACAACCAGGAAAGCCAAATTCTCAAAGAAAACATTTCACTGGCAAGGCAACATTTTAGACTGTAATTGGCAATTTGAACATTTGTGGTAGAGACATGAAAGTACGAAACCATTGGTGCTTATCTATCTTAAGTAAAACCATTTTTCTACATAGATTGCTTGTACAAGGCACAAAACACACAGTGGTAGAAAACTAGCTGCAATTTTTATTTTTTCTGCACCAAGCATCATATTATATCATATTATAGTAGTTTGTTGCTGTTTGGATTTAAGTGTTTTTTATGACAAACATCAACATATTAGTTTTAGGTATCTTTCATATCTTAATTTATAAGAACAACTACTACATTTTATATATAAAAAATAATATGTTGTAATCTCGACACCTCTAATTAATACCTAATTTTAATAAAACAGTAATCAAGAATATTTTAGAAATAATGCTTTAATATAATAGAAATCTCATAATTATATTAACCTTATAAATTTCTTTTCAAAACATTTTTGTTTCAAAAATTTTATTTTTACTCTGAATTCATTAATCAAATATTTAATAAATATTAAAAATAAATAAATTTTTATTAATAAATTAAATATATTTACATGAACAAAGTGACTCATAACCAAATACACTAACACACGTAACAAGGTAGATGAAGCTATGGGAATTTTAGAAATGGAAGAAGAGAATTTAACAGAGTGCCGGTTGAATCAGGCAATATGCCATAGGATGTTTCTATGTTATACAAGTCTCTGATTTCTGAGAGGAAAGCAATGCTGATGTTGCAATTAACTCTGATGGCCAAAAAGTCAAGGATGAGTGCTCCAAAGCTTCAGAAGGCACTTGCTGGAATCTGCAGAATATGTGAAAGTCATCTTGCAACTTAGTTTTTGATGAAGCATTAACATTCTCGTATCGCGAGTGGAAAACAAGATTTGCAGGGTCAAAGGTGTGTTTTTATATGGGGAACTTCCGAGATTTTCTTTTTCAATGATTTCTCAAGCTGCGATGATCTTTATGAAAGCCTTTCGCTGTTTCTCTTGCTAAATATGTTATGAAAGTCTCAGAAGTGAGCAGCAGACTGTCCACAGCTGTGGAGTCCGTGCAATTTCAAATGTTCTTTTGCTTTTTGTTAGAATCTCAGAGATTGGTGTTAAGGCCATGCTTGATTGAGCATGACCGCCCTTGCTTGGAAGAGGTTCTTCAGAAATATGTAGACCATTTTAAGAAAGTCTTCTGCATCTTCTGCCAGCTACTCTTCTATAGTTGTTGGGCAACGAACAGAATACTGCCTGCTCACCAGCAGCCGTAGGAAGTTCATAACTGTGTTGTTTCAGGTTTTGCTTGCTTATTTACATCCAGTAAAAAGAACCATAATAGAACAAGAAAGAGAATTAGAATGAGAGAAAGGAAGAATCCATTAACTTTGGAAATCCTAGGTTCTCATCAAATCATCAAACGCTCCCCTTCAAGACGATCCTTATCCCCGAGGTCAACTTCTGGGAACTGCAAATTAATTCATCATAACGAGGTCTTCCCATGTAGCTTCAATCGTGACAACAAAGGATAATTGTTGCCCAAGAGACCAGAAGGAAAGGACATCCGGTTCGATTTGGATATTAAGTCCAGGTTTGGGGCCGCTTGCAATCCCAGAAACAGTGCCACCGGTGCCGTGACTGTTTGCCAGACCCCCCCGGAATGCCAAGAGTTAAACCTGCTAAACTGTTCGGAGACAATTGAACGACCAAACAATTCTGACTTGTCAGTTTTACAGCGCGCGCGCGCACATATAGTGCCATCATCTACGTTTTGAGAGAATGCCAACTTGTTCGTGCTGAGTTAACCAGTATAATATAGACTTGCACTTCAGTTGGAAGATTCTATACTAAGAGGACTCAAGAACCTCTTCCCTCTATACTAAGAGGACTCAAGAACCTTTTCCCAGAGTACACAGCTATCCTTGAAAGAGCCATCACCTCTGCAACAGCCAACGGATGAGTCGAAAAAGAGTGGCTCGGGCATAATTTCGGCATAGACAGTGCCTCAACAGGTTTCTATTCTGGCAAGCCTATCAATACTAGAAAATCTGTTCTCTAGCACGATTTTTATGCTTTTGGAAGCAACGATCATAATTTAATAAAACAGTAATCAAGAATATTTTAGAAATAATGCTTTAATATAATAGAAATCTCATAATTATATTAACCTTATAAATTTCTTTTCAAAACATTTTTGTTTCAAAAATTTTATTTTTACTCTGAATTCATTAATCAAATATTTAATAAATATTAAAAATAAATAAATTTTTATTAATAAATTAAATATATTTACATGAACAAAGTGACTCATAACCAAATACACTAACACACGTAACAAGGTAGATGAAGCTATGGGAATTTTAGAAATGGAAGAAGAGAATTTAACAGAGTGCCGGTTGAATCAGGCAATATGCCATAGGATGTTTCTATGTTATACAAGTCTCTGATTTCTGAGAGGAAAGCAATGCTGATGTTGCAATTAACTCTGATGGCCAAAAAGTCAAGGATGAGTGCTCCAAAGCTTCAGAAGGCACTTGCTGGAATCTGCAGAATATGTGAAAGTCATCTTGCAACTTAATTTTTGATGAAGCATTAACATTCTCGTATCGCGAGTGGAAAACAAGATTTGCAGGGTCAAAGGTGTGTTTTTATATGGGGAACTTCCGAGATTTTCTTTTTCAATGATTTCTCAAGCTGCGATGATCTTTATGAAAGCCTTTCGCTGTTTCTCTTGCTAAATATGTTATGAAAGTCTCAGAAGTGAGCAGCAGACTGTCCACAGCTGTGGAGTCCGTGCAATTTCAAATGTTCTTTTGCTTTTTGTTAGAATCTCAGAGATTGGTGTTAAGGCCATGCTTGATTGAGCATGACCGCCCTTGCTTGGAAGAGGTTCTTCAGAAATATGTAGACCATTTTAAGAAAGTCTTCTGCATCTTCTGCCAGCTACTCTTCTATATTTGTTGGGCAACGAACAGAATACTGCCTGCTCACCAGCAGCCGTAGGAAGTTCATAACTGTGTTGTTTCAGGTTTTGCTTGCTTATTTACATCCAGTAAAAAGAACCATAATAGAACAAGAAAGAGAATTAGAATGAGAGAAAGGAAGAATCCATTAACTTTGGAAATCCTAGGTTCTCATCAAATCATCAAACGCTCCCCTTCAAGACGATCCTTATCCCCGAGGTCAACTTCTGGGAAC